GATTCTACATGTCGAATCGGCCAAAATGAACGCCGACGCCGACTGACGACGGCACGGGACACACCGAACCGATTCGAGTCACCGACCTCGCCCGACGACGTCCGACGGCCGATAATCGGGTTGGTGTGCAGAGGCTTTAACACGAACCCACGCACACACACAAGGATGAAATCTGCACTCCCAGTTTATGGAAACATTGTCATGTTTGATTGCATTGGCTGCCTGTCTGTTTGCATCATTGTGTATGTGCATGCGCAGCTGTCAGTGACCTTGCATGAAGGACAAACGAAGCCACTCATGTTTTCCACCACTCCGATGATCGGCAGCTTGACCTTTTGACAGAACCGGATCTCCTTCCGTACGTCCTGCAACGATACCTCCTAGAGAGAGAGAGAGAGAGACATAGAAATAGAAAAGACAGAAAGAAAAAGAGAAGAAGGGTGTGTGTGAGAGAGAGAGGGGGAGGGGGAGAGAGAGAGAGAGAGGGAGAGGGAATGGGAGAGAGAGAGAGAGAGAGAGAAAGTACAGTAAAAGACAAGATAGATATGAGGAAGCAAAACAGAAAGCATTGGCTTGTTTTCCCTTCCCTCGAAACAACAGTCATGATTAAACAGGGAAAAACAGTAAAGAGTTAGCAGCTGGGAATGTGTTGATTAACAACAGCTTGGCATCAATTAATCAATCTTTAACAGACGGGCTGTTTTGCTTGGGTAATTCCCTCATTGTCTGTGGTTAGTGAGAGCTGAAAAAAATAAGGAAGTGATTCTGCTGCTGTCTGACCTCACAGCACTTGGTCTAATTTCAGTATCAGGAAGTGTTTGCTCAAAACTCAAATCTTTCACCAAACTATAATAAGAGAGGATTTAAGGACACAGCCGCAACGCAGCCCCATACCAACGAACAGCGATTGTGTGTTCTGACTTTCTATAGAACAGTTAACTGTTTAGATTTGAGTACCAGTAGCTGTTGTTTGGATCGGAAAGGCAGCCTTCACTCCCCACGTGCATATTGCGTATTTCATGTACTGTGTTTCTAACATTTAACTGCTTTTATTGTGTCTTGTAAACAAATAACTAAACATGCTGGATTATAACTTTATAAGCCGCTGGCAGCTTCTGCAGTTGCGCTGTTGCCACTGGAGCATAGACGTTTAATAGATTTATGATAAAATAGCATCCTCTTTTGGTTGGTCTGTATTGTAGCTGCATTTTGCAGATGAATAACTTGAATAACACCATAAAAAAGTGAGAGGGAAACAACAACTGTGTGGTGAAACACTTAACTTACTTAACTGCCAATCATTCTCCAGCGAATATATATTTTTATAACTTTATATGACCATAATGTTTGTTGGAAAATTTTTACATCAATTTAGGGGAAAGTTAAAGATCGTTCTTCAACGTCGCAGACAGAACTTCCATATCATTTGTTCTGTATCTGCAACATGTTGACTCTGATAAAGCTCTTTGGTTAAGGTTAGTCTGTCAATCCGCCTCATGTGCTTACACTTCACGGAATGACTTTCCATAACCCCCCCCCCCCCCCACCAAATGCAAATAGTAACTGTTTAGTACTGAATTTCGCTGTGGGTTGAACATGTAGGTAGAGAGAGGAGCAGTGACAGTCACTACAGTAGTGGTGTGAGGGGTTTACCAGTTGAGATAAAATGAGCTCCAACCCCTTTCTTAAAATCACGATGCTTATTGTTGCTTAACCTACTCATGCTGTTTGAGTTACATTATCACACCTTAAAGCAAGACTTTTTAAAAATGAGTATTGACTTTCTCACTCTTGCACATAAAATGTTTAATTCATAAGCATTAATATATACACACGCACATAACAACAAATAACTTTACTGTCTATAAAAACAACATTTCTGGAATATGGCTGTGTCACAAAGAGCCAGAGATACCATTGTCCCCATGGGGATAAGATCATTGCATAATTCACTTATAGCAATGTTGCGTATTGAGTTCAGGGTGTGAGCCTAGATTTCTAGCCCGCCAGCAGTTCTCATTTTCTGTCTGTAATGTAATATCGTTGTGGCTTTTAGTGTCACTATGACTATCTATACTTGCTAGAGTTACATGAAAACCGTTGGCTTAACGAACAACTCCAGGTGGCTGAAAGTCATTCTGGGAAATGTAAGAAATCTCCAACTGAAGCACAAGTAGTCAAATCAGATAAAGTGAAAGCAGACGATACCTAAGGACGGAATTCCCCTTTACGGTTGCTGTAAAGGCTGTTCACGCTACTTATTGCAGTGTCATAGGTTGTATATCCGAGTGTGTGTGTGCGTTACCTGTGGTGTGGTGATGATGACAGCCCCGTCGACATGGGTGGCGCTTAGGTACTGGACAATTGACAGGTGTTCATCAGAGGTGCCAGGGGGCGTGTCCACGATGAGGTAATCGAGGTCGCCCCAGTCAACATCCCTCAAAAACTGCTTGATCATCCCTGATTTTTGGAACAAAGCCACGCAGGATATAGTGTTGTATAACATTTGGAAAACAGAAAATTATTTTTACACACACAATAAAATACCATTCTTCTTGGGTCCTCTCCAGATCACAGCGTCGTCAGGGCTACTGAGCAGGAAACCAATAGACATGACCGCCAGGTTGTCATCCACATACTGCAACATACACACACAGACACAGACACATTTACGTTGTATGCAATCTCTTCAAAGAATTAAACATTAAAAACTAAACATGGTTTCTATGCCTTCTTAAATACAAAATTCAAGGACTTTCCAGGCCCAGTTTACTCAAATTCAAGGACCCAACATGGCATCGTTATACGAGTGCGATGCTAGAAGCTCCACTGGGGCTCATGTTCGTAGTGCAACAGGGCAATGTGCAACAAATAAAACAGCACAACAAGCCGCTGTATTGTCAGTTTTAGTATAGCCAAATGTGTCTTTCATGTTTTAAGATGTTTCATGTTGATTTTGTGATGGTTTTCTGATGTTTGTTCTTTTGTTTTTGTGAAGCAACAGATTTTACCACTGTGCCCAAGACAAATTTCCCCCTCGGGGACAATATAGTTTATTGTATTCTAATCCATAGTTTGACACACGAATCAAAGTTAATTAGTGTTACAACACTGAGGATTTTCATAATGAGAGCTAGCAGGCTTTACAGCTCACAGACGTCGATTAAAAAGAGTGAGGTTTAAATGTTGTGTTACAGAGATGTTAGATGAAGCAGGCCTAAAAAAACACTCACAATCACATCTTATTACAGTATCTATTCTTATATAAGTATGCATATATAAAAGATAATATGTATATATAAAATATATACATTCACGCACTTCCAATGACCCAAATAAATTCATGACTATTTTTAAAAACTTGATTTAAAGGCCTTGTTTTTTTCCCCCCTCAAATTCACAACCTTTCAAGGACCCGTGTGAACCATGCAAGCTTGACAGACTTGAACTGACTCACCACAGGAGACCAGCCTGAGCCACTCTGATGAACCTGCACACGAGAGGACAGATTACAGACCCACTCTGAAGAAAAAGGCGTAATATGATTGATGTCAAAGAAAGAAATAAAGAAAGATAGATTGATGTTTTTTTTATATTGATTTTTTTTTTTTTTAATCATTTTGTGTATCTGTGTTCTGCCCAAAACTCACCTGTTCTCCCTCTAAGCCCATGATCCTAGGAATGGATGGACCACAGATATCTACATCCAGCAGGGCAACCTAAAAAGAAAAGAGAAAGCACTCTAGTCTGTGACAGGCTGAACTAATCTTAAACCTAAGATTCAGTTTGGTAATCCTGTGGAAATGTCTAGCGTCCATTGTCTTGGCATTTCTCAAGAGCAACACGGAAGATTTTTTGGCTGCGTGCTACAATGTGAGACTTTATTGCTGGCTTGTGTCGTGGCTGTGACATGAAGTCCAGAGAGGCAAAACTGGATATCAGAGAGAGGGGGAGGACTAGGCTATATCCACATTTGTTGTACTACACAGGTAAAGATGGTTTGTCGCGGAGGCAGAGACATTGTGAGGTGTTCAGTCTTCTTGATATGATATGAAAGAAGTAACACGGGTCTATGATTTACAGTAAGCAGTTAACATGTGGCTTTAACTCACTGAAACTGAGTTAAAATCAGTAACACAATGGGCCTCATGCAAAAACCACACTTCAGCTGTAGAAATCTCAACTGTATGACTTTAAACCTCAGTTAAGCCACGTCTGCAGTGACCTCTAGTGGAGTGATAGAGACTGTACCAGTGACACCACCACACTGCCAGGCACAGTCACTGGGTTTCCACTAAACCTCAGCTTCAAAGAGGTGAAGAGACCACACAATTGCGTTCCAGACAACACAGGTTTAAACTCATTTTGAAACTTCTATGCGGCTTCCCCTTTCTTCTGTCACATAAATATATCACCCTAGCAGTAATATGTGGGAGTTTGGCAACTGTTGGTGTTGCTCCGTGGTTTTATATTACCTCCTTTGTGCTGTCACTCGCCAGAGCGTGAGCCAGGTGAGCGCTGAAGGTACTCTTCCCCACTCCTCCTTTCCCAGACAGCACGAGGATCTTGTGTTTGACCGTCGACAGCTTGGCTCCTATCTCTGCTATGGCTGGAGAGGAGATCGATGACGGAGATGGGTTATTGCGTCAACCAGCGGCACCAAACTCTCAGATGAGACGTAAGACATGGATTCACTGAGCTGTTTGTTGATTTAAAGCTGCTACCTTGTCTCGTCCAGCCTCACTGTATACAGATTATCATAAGATCACGATATGGGAACACTCTTACCAGGGTCGGGGGTCTTGGTGGCTCCAGAAGCACACACTTTCTGGTTGGGACAGCCCTCGCATGATGATGACTTCCCTGCTTGCTCACTCGTTGTACCCGGGCAGTCTGACACAATTAAACAGAGATCAATAATCAGTGTGTTTGCTTTTACCAGGTCATCTTGAACTGATCAGACCCTGACACATGTTCAGACAGATGAGACAGAGAGACAGGCTTGTATTCAATATTTCGCGTTTACCCTAACGAAAAACCGTGGGTAAACAGTGATGTACGCGCGAAATTGCATGAGAGGACAGTGGCTTTTAAATCTGGGGACGACGCTTGTTACAAGAGTGCGAGATATGAGCTTAGAAATGCAATCAAGTCTGCTAAAAAACAACACCGGGACAAGATAGAGCGATATTGCTCTGAAGGGGACTCTAGGCGCGTTTGGCAAGGCCTACAAGCTGTCACTAGCTACAAGGCCAAACCTAGTGGCGTCACAACAACCTCTGCTTCCTTCCCAGACAGTTAGAGCTGGCACTACATACTCAGCCTCTATAGTGTTAAACACCGGAGCACCTCAAGGCTGCTGTCTTAGTCCTCTATTATATAGTCTATACACCTATGACTGTATTGCAAAACATCCCGCTAACAGTCAAATTTGCAGACGATACTACTGTGCCATTAAGGTGGTGTCTTAAGAAATATGCCCCTTAACATCCTACAGAACTTTTAACAAATTGAGAGTATAAGCTGACAGGCTGATATCATGTGAGTGTGTGTGCGGAGACACAACAGGAAAGAGGCTAAGTCTGAGCTTAGTGATACTATGTTCTTTTTTTTGTTCGTTGGATGTTTAAAATTCTGTGAGTGAATTGTTAGTTTTATTTATTTATTGACGGGGTGCTGAGAGTGCAAGCAAGTTCGCTATTCATTTGCTGTGTGTACCCTCTCTACTCCCTGTACTAAATATGCATATGACAATAAAACTGAACTGAACTGAACTGGCTGAAGTTGCCATAAAGCAAACATCAAGTCTTGGGTTTAAATATTTCATATGTAAAATAATATGTGGCAGTTCATCACATTCAAACGTTCAGTACTGTTTAAGTAGCTTTGTGTCAGTATTAAACCTCTTGTTCAGACACAAATGAGCAGTTTCTGTAATGCCATCAATCCGCTGACGTTTAACGGCTCTGAGGAAAAACAACTGCGTCACTGAACTTTATAGTTCAAGAAGAGTTGAATTGGATCTAAATGTCAACCAAAAGTGCCAGTACATAATATATTTAATCATATTTTAGCTCACTTACACCCCAACTACCTATAAACACCCCGAAAACAAACAGGAATAGTGCAAGTAACAGTGTCGCCAACGGTAACAGCAGACTTTGTTTAACAACCTCACCGTAAAGACAATGACACAAAACGCTACACAGGGAGCCAGCTCTACTGTCTTAGAGGTAAAAGTCTCAAATAAATATTAATTTAACAACTCACGTTCTGGTGCGTTATCTGGTACGTCTGCCATTTTTACACTAGTGTCCCCCAGTTAAAGTGTTCCCCCTTCGAAGGTTCCGGATACGCATTAAACCATTGATGCAGATTTTCCAACCTACTTGTGTCCGCTAGGGTGCGCTGTAGATTGAGTTATGTTAGCAAAAGCGCCATTCACACTCTATCTATCTATCTATCTATCTATCTATCTATCTATCTATTATTTTGATGGCAGTCTTTTCTGACTCAAATTATATTGTAATCAAGCCAGATTTTGAAGCTTCTCTATCTGGATATAATTGATTAGTATATTTTCATATTAATGTGACATTTCAGTACATAACACACAATAAAGATAAGTAGTTCAGGGACTCAGGGGGACCTTAAAGTTCCGTGAGTAGTACTGCAATGTCCTCACGAAGCATCAACAATGCAGTTGATACGAGTAATACCAACAACTTTAAAGTGTGGCACCTTGACATCTTTCTCCATCTCCCGGACACGTGTGTTCCATATATTTTTGTCCACTGTTTCATTTCAAACACATTCAAACTCTGTGTTTTATGGGCTCACTGGCCATTATGGGAAAAAGGCGGTTGGTTGACACAGTATTATTTGTCTGGCTTTGAAATCAAAGAGCAAGTGAGAGGGTGAAGAGGCGTGCATGTACGTGCAGTGTGTGTCTGTGAATGCCTGTGTATAATGTGAGTGAAACATCACTTGATGCATTGCTCACAGATCTTATGTATCCTTGTCAGTATATGTCTACACATACATTTCTGTATTTTTTTTAATGGGTGCGTTTGTGTATTTAAGTGTGTGTGTGTGTGTGTGCACTTGTCTGCGTACATGCCTCCCCTCCCCCAATTGTTTGCCCTGTCGAGAGTGTGTAATGTGATATTTTCTTTGTGTTGGCCCATCCGTCACTAGCTGACAAACTTATTCACACAAACCCATGGCAAGCTTTAGTCACTGCTCACCACTGCTTTCACATGCATGGTAGGTTGTAGTCAGCCACAGTACAGTGTATTAACACTAGACTCTGCGGTCCCGGCAACACATATTAGGTAAATTACATCAGCAGGTTTCCATAATAATGCATCTGGCTATATGAACTGTATTTGTAGGTACACATGATGCTGTTATAAATGGACATTGTTACTGATGTCCATTTATATTACTGAGGTAAGATAAAAAGGTTCTTTGGTCAGACACTAAGACAGACACATGCAAAGAGCGAGCAAGAGGTGCAGGACAGAGAGAGAGAGAGACCAAAGAGCCGGGGTGTCATTAGGTGTGTAATTCATCCCTCCAAGCTACATGAAAAGTCTGAGCAGAGAACAACAACAGTGCAGCTGGAGACTTAGTTTGGAAGAGTTGTTTGTGAAATGACTATCATATCCTTCCTCTTCCCCCTTTGCTATTGCTCCTATGGCTCTCCACACCCTTTAAAAAGGCTGAATTAGCTCTTTGAATGGAGACAGAAGACACTTAAAGCTGACATTATCCAGTTTACAATGCTCTGCTAAATCTCCAGATGGAGAAAACAAACCATATATCACTTTTATCCTCGTAAGATCACACATTTTCGGATGGATGTATATATATATACATCGGGTACATACTGCATATTTGTTGAATACAGGAAGAAAGTAAATAAATGACATACTATGAAAACAAGACTCAAGATTTTCCTCTAAAACAAATGTTTGAAGTGCGCTGACCTTGAGTGGTAAGGTGCAAACATGAAAACCCTGAAAGGAGAAACAGTGTTGACACTCCAAAGCATAAAACAACATGTATATTTTGGGAAATGCTGTTGTTCTTTCTGGTGGAGACTTAGCTGAAAGGATTGCCCTCGTGTCTGTATGTTAAATATGAAACTACCGCCTGCTTAGATTAGATATAGAACAAAATCCACCCACAGCACCTCTAAATCTCACTAACAGTTTATATCTTATTTGTTTAATTCATACAAATACACGTTTTCGCCATTTTCTGATTATGTGCCGGCCTGTTTCTTAGCTGGGAGGAGGTCTCCGCTGGTTGCCTGGTAACAAAAGTCCCCCTGCCCCCTGCCCCCTGTCCCTGTTTTTTTTTTGTGGAATAAATTACTGATGTATTGTCTGTTATAGAAGAAGAACCACATTATTAACCTTCACTGATGGAGACAATTCAGAAATGTTGAATGTACGTTCATTTAAGCAATGACATCATCTGTCAAATCTCACACACGTACAAAGTCCAGTTGACTAGATAGTCCATCATGAAGTCAGACACATTGTGTCGATTCAGCAAGTATTTCCACACACACACACACACACACTAATACTGTAGACTCAGGTCAGATTTTGGTCACTGTTACTCAGCACAAAAGATAAGCCTTGACTGCACAAGCGGCCATCATACCGGGAACAATGCCACACACACACACACACACACGCACACACGCACACGCGCACACACACACACACACATCAGACTTAACATAACACACTTTTTCTACAAGGATTAACAGAGGGACTTGTGTGCGTGAGTGTTTGGGAGAAAGAGTGTGGCAGGGCAGAAATGTCACACAACTGGAGAGGAAAAAGGAAATAAGTCGTTGATGCTGTTAACGAACTGCATGTGAAAAATAATGAAGTGCAGAAGGAAACAAAGTGTCACTTCATTTTATAGTTATAAAAACAAATTTATGTAAAAAGCGCTACAACCTATTCAGCTTGTCAAAAATTGTGTTAATTGTTAGGGCAGTTCCTCATCTCCATAGGGAATGTAGTTTCTGCACACTTCATATGTAGCTGCTGTATTTGTGAAATCCCCGAGTGTCTCAGTCCTCCAGGTACACTCCTGCTCCTTTGGAAAAACAATGTGACGGACTGCCTTGGTGGGGGTGTGCACGAGGTAAAGTAACTTGAATGTGCGGTTGGACGTATTTGCGATGCAGTAAAAGTTGACAGAGAACTTTTTTTGCAGGACATAACCTGCGTTGTTTTGTTTACGTTCAAGTGACACAGCCTCTGGCTACTAGTGGTTGTAGTAAATATGAATCTTGTCAAGAGCAAAGAAGGAGGTCTTCTGACCTTTTTGCAGAGCCACAGAGTTGGGGTGGATGGATGGGACAACTAAAGAATGGACTGGGAGATCCCTGTTTCTTATTAAATGTTCTCAATCAATCACTCTTTTACCATTTAGTTAGTGTAACCATGGTTCTTTAATGGTAATTTAACCCAAATCATGATCTTTCCACAACCCTAATAAAGTTGTTGAACCAGACCTTAACCATATGAGCTTATAACTGACAAATGATGTCCCCTGCCAATAGTCACGTTGTTCTGGAGGGCAAAAAATGCTTTTTTTGTTTAATGTGGAGGAGTTGTTGGGCTGCTGCAGGACCCCGCTGTGTTACTGAAATGAATGAGAGAGTCAGGGTGACCTGGTGGTTGGAGACACTTCACAGACAAGCAGAATGACAGAATGTCACAGGTTCAGTCCTTTGAACAACCAACGTCTGTATGGTTTGGGTTCCTCCTCCATCGCTCCCCTGCCTCAGATCCTCCCCTCTTCCTTCCATCCTCCTGTTCCATTCCTCCTCTTTCCTCCCTCTCTTATGAAATTCTCAGCTGCTACGGTCATGTGGGGTCATCCCCTCAGAGACTATTTTAGCTGTTTTAACTGCACCTTGTTGACCAACACTCTGGTGTCTGACCACATAATATGTATGTGTCTGCAGAGTGACAGAGAGTCTGGCACTTGTTTGACATTAAAGTTTAATAAACTGCAAACAGTTTCACCTGTTTTGAGAGAGACTTTTAAAATTCCCATCTCCCCCACAGAAACAGGAACGTTTGTTACCCAGTCCGCACCTTAACGAAAATGCAAAGTAACACCCACCCACACGCATTAAACATGGCATATGCAAAATCATTGCTCACCATCATGAAGAACATATTGTGCACATGCACATGCATTTGTGTTCATGCTGTGTGTGTGTGTGTTTGCGTGTGGACACTCCCTGAATGATAATACATGCAAATCTCTATTAGTCACCCATCCTGATCATACTTAAGATGATTTGTTTGGTGCTTCTTTTTTCCAGGGAAAACAGTTAGAGAAACAGAACACTGAATATGCACACAAAGAAGTAATACATTTCTGGATATACTAGGAAAAATGCTGTATATCAGACACTGAGAGTACTGTCAGCTGCAAGTTGGGTCACACTCATAATATCCTGACAGTATCATCACAGACAATGAAAACGATGAAATATGAATTAATTAATTAATATTAATTTTCTCCTAATTCGCAAATAGCACTTAATCTCCATGCTTGAAATTTACTTTTGTCATTTCTTTCATTTCTTACCAAGGGTGACATGAGAAGATCAATAACATTTTCATAATATGAAGCTACAGGCAGCAGCTGATTAGCTTAGCATAGCATAAGGACTGGAAGCAGCTGGCCTGGCTCTGGCCAAAGTATAGCTGCCAGCACCTCTACATAATCACAAACATGAATGAACAAGTCAGATCTTTCATGTTTAATTTATATACCGCCAGCCCAGAAGTAGTCCCCTCCGCAACAATTTCTTTATGCATTGTTTTTTGTACACATTGAACAAAAAAACATAGCATGATAATTAGTGAACTTTAAAGGCTCTAGTAGGTGGATTTTGTGGTGTGTCGATCTTCTCATCTAACTCCCAGAAAGAAAGCAAATAAGCATATTAACTATTCCTTTAACAGGAGTAAGTAGAATAGATAGATAGATAGATAGATGGTGGTAACAGTACTGATGATATGATGGTAGTGTTATTGTTAATAACAGTATAATAATAATATTATTAATAATAATAATATTAATATGTATATATATAATATGATGACTAAATACACACATAGATAGTACACACATAGATATTATACATTAATATTGATATAATGTAAACATGTGTCATATATTCAGCCTGTGCAAGGTGTGCATACATGCGGGGGGGGGGGGGGGGGGGGGGGGGGGGATTTCCGAACGCACGAAACGACGTAACAAACATCGGAACAGAGAATAACAATGTTATCGTAGGGTTATTTCTGTGTCAGGCCGTTGAGTCCAG